ATTCTTCTCCTACATTCTCCTCTCAGGAATTTGGGCACACATGCTCAGTGTGAGTTTCAAGCCACCAGGTCCAGGACTTGAACTGTGGTGGACTACTTGGGAGTCCAGTGACATAACGATTATGCCCTCTGCTACCCCCGGCCCATTTTTTATTTCTAAATAACATTATAGGAGGATATAAGTTTTGTCTTGTGTTTATGGCTCCCTTCCTAGCTCTGGGTCCTTAACAGGGTCCTTTTCTTCCACCAGCCTTTAAACGTTAGTGATACTTGCAGAACCCACTTTTCACTAACCCTTCGACCTTTGACATAAACAGCTATAAAGGCACTGATGGCTGCATCTGCACCCCCGGCCCAGTGCTCCCTCCCGCCACCCAGAACCATGAGTATGCCCACTCACCCCTACTATTCAACAGGTGGTTCCCTCCAGATAGTCCCTGAGCGCACTTACCAACCTACCGTGCCCGGTGACAGTCTGTCTCAGTGAACTACGCCATCGCCCACGCCAGACCTTTACGGGACCTAGACTCGTTAGTTCCCTGTCTCTTTTGGGACACCATTCCCATCATTCTCTCTCCCTTATTATATCTTAGGCTCCAGAAATACTGAGCTCTGTGGTGTCCCCCATACACCAGGCTTTGCATATGGTTTGGTCTTTTCTTACATGCCACTCACTGTATCTCCCTTATAAATCCAACTCACTTTTCTAATCTCAGCCGCAAAGTTACCTTCTCCTAGGCCCTTCCCAAACAGAATTAAGTTCCCTCCTCTGCCTGTCTACTGCAGAGAATGACCAAATTACTTGTTTGACTCCATGAGACCACAATTTCCTTAAGGACTGCAACTCTAATTCACAGACAGCCTGGCATATCAGACACCAACTTGTTGCTACCTTCATCTATTTGTTATAATAGGCAATAAAGTTATGATACTGCCAAATTAGTTTTTATTTATTTATTTATTTATCTAAATTTGACGAGAGAGGGAGAGAGAGAGAGAGAAAGCTGCCAGGTCTGGGATTCGAATCGAGGTCAGCCACGTCAGAGTCCAGCACTCTTAACCTCCACCCCACCTGCTGGCTCCAGTTTTCTTATTCTTAAAAATTCATTTCCAGATACAATTAATCAATTAGAAATCCAAACAATTTAGAGCCAGAAGAATCCCCAGAGATCATCGTGTAGCTGAACCACATGAATTTGTAAAGGTGAAATCTGAGAGGAAAAACAATAAACAACTGGAGGCGATTACATTCTTCATGTATCTAAAATATCACTGTCTCTGAGATCTATAGCTAAATTTTGGAGAACCACAGGAACCAAAGCAGGGTGTCTCAATCTTTTTTTAAAAAATCAGTATCTAAAATGTTTTTCTTTACATACTTCTCATCAATTAAAATCATCACTACTCAGTTTTCTTGGTTAAAACAGCTAGTTGGTCTATAGCATCACCTTTTTTATTTATCACCTTACACACACACACACACACACACACACACACACACACGTTATAAAGAAGACAATTTCCTGGGTGAGCCCAGTGGCTAGTGGTTAAGGGAGTGAGATGCCACATGGCCACATGCATGGTTTGAGTCCCAGCCTTGGCAGCTTGAGAAATACTCTAGTCATGTGTGGTGTACATGTGCACCAAATCCAGAACCTAGACAGGTGAAAATGGAGGTGAAGGAACTGTAGCATAACCACGATCCACTGAGAAGTGTTTCCTCCCTCTCTTGCCCTCTCCCTCTGGCAAATTTGGAAAAAAAAAAAAAAATTCCCTAGGGTTTCCCCACTCATTCTCTTGTATACAGCCTCTTGATACCCTTTTATTCTCATCTTTACTAACATCTTAAAAGTCAAATGCTTTCAAGGCAAGCACTTAGAGTGGTGGTTGAGGCACTGGACTCCCACATGGCCAACTGTGGTTTTTTTGGACCTAGCAGCTTGCTTTCTTGTCTCTTTCTCTTTCTCCCCCTCTCTCATCATTTTTTCTAAAAAGTAATTATAAATAAATTAAATAAATAAATAATTCTTTTTTAAAAAGTCAATTGTCTTATAAAGATGAATAAATAATAGATCATTGGGAAAGTCATGACGTGTTTTTCTATGCAAAAATGCATCATGATTTTCTCAATGATCCAATAGCTAAACTCTTCAGTTAAGGGCCTCCTTCCTACATCTGGTGCTTCATTTTGCACGCTAAACCCTCAGGTTGAAGAGTCCTGGAGCACAGGGAACCAGCAGTTAGCATAATGGCTATGTCGCTGGACTCCCATGTAGTCGACTGCGGTTCGCGTCCCGGACCCGGTGGCTTAAAACTCACACTAGGCGCGTGTGCGTGCGTGCCCAAGATCCCGAGAGAAAAACAGAGGAGTCCCTTCTCACTTTCTATCTCTCTGTCTCTCTCTGTCTGTCTGGTGAGCACATGTGCCCTATAGCAAAAACCTCTCCAATAAAAAAGAGTCCTTGCCAGCTTTGCGCAGTGGCAGTATCGTAGCCAATGAGGTTTATCCGAGGCGTGATTATTGCTAATTGAAAGAGTTAAAAGATTAGTGGTTGCCAGGGATTTAAAAAAAAAAGAGTCCTGGAACACTGAGGGCTCTGAGTCAATAGGAGAGTCAAGTCCCAAGAATCCTCACCAGAAGTAGCAGATTATCACTAATCAGACCATCAGAATGAAGTCAAACAAAGGAGGTGCTTCAAAGAGTAGGCATCCTGGAGGAGAAACTGACAACCCTCAATCCACCTGAAATCCTAACAGTGATGGCAGCATAAGAACACGGGAATGCCAGTGCTCCTGCGCCATTTAGAGCATTAAATGTCAAATATGAGTTCCCTGACTTTGGTGATGTGGAAATTTAAAAAGATATAGCACAGGGAAGAATAGTTTTACCTAAATTGTTAGATCTACACCTTTCTACCACAAGGCATTATTACAACCAATTTAATAAATATATTTTCCTGTAATTATCAACTGCTACAGTCTGAATGTGTAACCCCCAAATTCATGTGATGAGCCATTGCTAACAGGGCAAAAAGTTGATCCACTTACAGTGTCCAAAGGTAGGGTTTGGGGATAGAGATCAGGATTAAGGTCATCGGGGAAGGGTCCCCATGACTGCTCCTGGTGGGTTGACAAGGAGAGAGAATGAGGAAAGAGACACATATGAAATGTACACCATGCTCTCCTGCCCTCTGCCAAATTGTGATACAGCCAGAAGACACCCCCAAGAAGCAGCCCCTGCACCTTGGACCTCCAAACCGTGGGTTGCATAAAGCTCTATTTTTCTGAATCAGTCTCTCAAGTACTTCCTGTTACTAACAATTAAAAACTTGAACATCCACAACCTGATTTTATTTGGGGTGCATATAAGGAAGATTTTATAAATTAATTACTGATTTGTATTTATGTGGAGCCACTTTTAGGCAACAAGAAAACATACGTGCTGAGTACTTCGGATGATGGTAGTACTGCAAAAGTACATCCAGAAGACAAGAGAAAATGCCTCAGAGACCTCAGAACCATAATCTTCTTCAGAAGGCAGGGCAGCTTTCAAAGGTCAGTTAATGTTCCCAGGAACACAGCAAGGATTATTCTGAACCTCAACACCCCACCATTCCAGGATTGCAACACCTCTCAGACACCAATTCCATTTCTCCCAACACTACCAACTAACCACTTCTCTCTCGTTCACGTCTTCACAGTCTGCTGCCTCAGGGTGTGCGCTCTGGCCTCCTCTCTCGGGGTCTCCAATTCTGGCCCATCCGTACCTCTAAGGGACTCCCATGAACTGCAAAAGGCCTGCACAGGTTTTCTGGCTCAGATCTCTGACAGAACCATCTGAAGCCCACTATTAAGGTCTTGAATCAAAACTCAAGACTGAAACAAAAGGGACTCCCCACAGAAATGCAGGAGCAAAAAGCAAGCGCTCAGAGCTAACAGAGACGGTTGATGATTAACTTACCCATATCTAGAAAGGCCAGTCTTGCCTAAAAGAGTCCCTGTTATCCCAGAGATCAGTATTTAAGTCCTCTCTGTTATGAGAATGTACAGAAAAGGGAAAATCATGACACAAAAATAATCATTAACTGAGCAGTCGAACAACTGGCCCTGATTAAATAACACTAGCTTCTATCCCCACCCTTCAGAGCCACTGTCAGTCACGTGGGTCCTGTAAGCACAATAGATACACGATGTGCACTGATTCACTGGTGTGAACCTCAGCCCAGGCCACCTGCGACTAACAGGCTGGGTGTGTGTGCACACATGCCCATAATCCAGACAAGGCTGGATAATAGAGAGGAGAGGGTTGTAGCGAAAAAAGGATTGTAGCATGGACACACCCTTTTGGCCAATTGTCTCACATTCTCTCTCTCTCTCTCTCTCTCTCTCTCTCTCTCGTCCTCTGGCAATTAAAGAAAAGTCTGTCAAGTTGCTCACTGAAGGTCACTTCGATGAAATACAAATTTAGAGTAAAGTGAAAATGCAAAGCTACAAAGATGTAGCATTTCCAAAAGGTGATAGAAGATGCTAAAGAATTGTTTAAATTCCAGGCACAACCACTGATGAAAGAAAATATAGTACAAGTTAGGAAGGTTAGTAATTGAAAAGAAAAATCAATAAGGGAAATAATATGCTAAATGTCTCAAGAAAAATAATAATTTGATTACAAAGACTGAAAGCAGGAATATAATAAAACCCCTAAATGGTATGCAAAAATGCTAGATCATTATGATTGCATTATGACCAAAAAGGTTTCCAATCATGTTACTATACAATTTAGTATGAAAATGTATGCCAAAAACAAACACTTGATATATTCTCTTTGTTAAAAAAATTATTTTATTTAACTTTACTTATTTATTTATTTATTTTAATTTGACCACAGAGGAGGAGAAAGAGGGAAAGTGAGGAAGTAAGCCGCCAGGTTCTCCATTCTCCACTCAGGATTTTGGGAACACATGCACACATGTCTGGCATGATTTTCAAGCCACCAGGTCTGGGACTTGAACCACGGTTGGCCGCATGGGAAGTCCAGTACCTTAACTACTGGCCCCTTCACCCCTTTCTTAAAAGTAGCCTTTTTCTTAGCCAAGCTATGAAAACCCAAATACTTTATGTTCCTCTTTAACCTCTATCAACTGCCTGCGCTCTGTGGCAGAAAGGGAAAGACTTAGTGGTACGGAAGTAGAGAATGATGGTAGAAAACAGAAGCTGCATGATGGACAGGGCAGTGGGGCAGGAGTTTAGTGCACGAGGTGGTTAGTTTGGGAGAAATTGGTTATCAGACAGAAGAACACATGTAACAAGTGGAATGGGTTATGAAACAAAGTACCACAGCAAAGTAAAATATGTCACTGCCAATCCAAGGTATGTTTTCTTTAAGAGAGATTTTTGCTACAGGGTACATGTGCTCGCTGAAGAGACCAAGAGACAGAAAGTAAGAAATCACCCCTGCCCTCAGGGAATGGCCACACCGCAATACCCTTTCCTCCATTCTCCTCTCAGGATTTTAGGCACATATGCACATGTGCCCAGTTTGAGTTTTAAGCAGCCAGATCCGGGACTCGAACTGCAGACAATGTGGGAGACCAGCAACATAACCATTATGCCATCTGCTGATCCTTTTAATGAACACTTTTTTAAAAATATTATAGAACACACACACCATAATATAGAGTGTCAAGTAAGATAAATGTCTATATCCTTGATTTGATTATTACACTATATGCTTTAAAAAATCATATGGAATCCCACAAATACATATTGATTATATATAAACCAACTTTAAAATGTTTTAGTTTCAGGCCAGCAGGTGGGGGTTGAGGCTAAGGCACTGGATCTGACTGACATGGCCAGCTTTGAGGCTCAGGTCCCGGACCCAGCGGCTTGAGTATCATGCAAGGTGCCTATCTCCAAAATCCAAAGAGGAGAGTGGTGAAGGGACTATGGAGTAGCCACCCCCCACCCCCAGGATGTTTGTCTCTCTGGGGAGCATACATGCCCATAATAGAAACTAAAAATACAGTTTAAAAATTTAGTTTCAGAAACACCTTTATACCAACTTCCCTGTTTTAATTCCAAAACAAGGTAACATGTGTTCCTGAATATAGTGCAGCACCAACCAAAACGAACACGATCCAAACGATCCAAAGTCTACAGTGGTGTAGGTGTGGAAGAGAATGAAGAGGTTGACGGAGGTGGTCTCAGGCTGGCTGGGTTTCTGATTTACAACTCCCAAGGTAGCTACTACCACCAGTTATAAGAAACTTCATTTGCTAGAGGAACTGTTTTTCCTTCTGTCACTTTAAAAATAATTACTGAATGGAGGACCAGCAGTTAGCGTAATGGCTATGTCACTGGACTCCCATGTAGTTGACCGCGGTTCACATCCCGGACCCGGTGGCTTAAACTCACGCCGGGCGCATGTGTGTGTGTGCCCAAGATCCCAAGAGGAGAATGGAGGAGAAGGGACTGCAGCGTGGCCATCCCCCCTGGGGGGTGTTTCTCACTTTCTGTCTCTCCCTCTGTCTGGCGAGCATATGCCCTATAGCAAAAACCTCTCAAAAAAAAAAAAAAAATTACTGAATACAACTTATACCCAAAAGAAATACTAGTTTAGAAAGAAAGGTTTGCTGTTGGTTTTCAAATTCAAACATGCAAAGTAGGTCAATCCCTCCCAATATGGGACTCCTATCGTCCCCCAACTGCCACCCCCAGGAAGGTGTGACAGAAAGCCAGCAGAGCAAGAAAACGGAGACCACTGCTCACGCTATGTCTACACCAGCTGTGAGGTCCCAGGTCACCCAACCAAAATGCAGTATGGGATATGCGACAAATTTACAGTTCACCAGACAGTATGTGTGTGTGTGTGCTTGTGTGTGTTATGAAATGTTATGAACAATTAAAACATAAAGATATATATTAAAGTAGGAAAACATGACTGCTGAAATAAACCCTTTTTTATTAGCCTCACCATGAGTGCCGTCTGTTAGCAATAAACGTAATGAAACTCATCCCTGAGAACAGTCTACAGGTTTCTCACCACGGCAAATGTATCATTAATAGTTAATCCAGCCTCTCAGAAGAACAAAGGCTCTCCAGCCCTGTCGGCTCTCCAGCCCTGACTCCTCTGGCAGACAGAAGTAACCCAAGTTCTTCGATAACTGCAGGCTGTTATGCTCAAGGTGACACCCAGGGCTCTGTTCACCCTGAGGCCAAGTTTTAAAGCTTTCTTTGTATTACTCTTTAACAATACGTACCATTTGTATATCTTTCTGACACAATACACAAGTTTTAGAAATTACATCACAGAACTCAGATAAAGATACCTCCAAGAGATAGTTTTTTCATACTAGATATTAATAGAAAACTGAAACTATGTGGTTCTCTGATATTGCGAGTCACAAAGTCAGAAATGAAGACACTTTAATTGTATTTATCATATTGATACATAAAGCACTAGTGAATTCACTGAGGTAATGAATGTCTGCTTTCCAGCTCTTACTTTGGTAAGCCAAGGCCCACCCAATCATCTCAAAAAGAAACTTACCTTAAAATAAAATAAAAAGGGGGCCAGCAGGTGGCATGGTAGTTAAAGGCACTGGATTCCCACAC